CAAGTGTACAGTATAGTAATTCAGCACTTCTTTACATCAACCTGTGCTCATCACCACAAGTGCAGTCCTTAATCCCCATCACCTATGTCACCCATTCCCCCCCCCGCCACCTCCCCTCTGGTAACCATCAGTTTGTTCTCTATAGTTAAGAGTCTGTTTCTTGATTTGTCTCTCTTATTTTTTTCATTGCTTGTTTATTTCTTAAATTCCACATGAGTGAAATCATACAGTATTTGTCTTTCTCTGACTTATTTCATTTAGTATTATACTTTCTAGCTCTGTCCATGTTGTTGAACATGACAAGATTTCATTCTTTTTTATGGCTGAGTAATGTTTCATTGTATATATGTACCACATCTTCTTTATCCATTCATCTGGTGATGGACATTTGGGCTGCTTCCATATCTTGGCTATTGTAAATAGTGCTGCTATAAACACAGGGGCCCATGTATCCCTTTGAATTAGTGTTTTTGTATTCTTTGGGTAAATACCCAGCAGTGTGATTGCTGGATCATAAGGTATTTCTATTTTTAACTTTTTAAAAAAAATATTTCATTTATTATTTATTTGAGAGAGTGAGAATGGAGAGAGAGAGCACATGAGAGGGGGGAGGGTCAGAGGGAGAAGCAGACTCCCTGCCGAGCAGGAAGCCCGATGCGGGACTCGATCCCGGACTCCAGGATCATGACGTGAGCCAAAGGCAGTTGCTTAACCAACTGAGCCACCCAGGCGCCCTGTTTTTGACTTTTTGAGGAATCTCATGCTGTTTTCCACAGTGACTTCACCAATCTGCCTTCCCACCAACAGTGCACAAGAGTTCCTTCTTCTCCGTATCCTTGCCAACACCTGTTGTTTCTTGTGTTGTTAATTTTAGCCATTCTGTGTTTCTATTTTTAATTGGTTGAGTTTTTATCATAAATGGGTACTGGATTTTGTCAGATGCTTTTTCTGAGTCTATTGAGATGATCATATGATAAAAATATCTATGTATTAGTTATTTATTGCTGCATAACAAATTATCCCAAATCTTAACATCTTGAAAGAGCAAACATGGTTTATCTAACATTTTCTGTGGGTCTAGAATTCAGGTACTCCTTAGGTGGGTGCCTCTGGCTCAGGGTCTCTCTGAAGTTTTGATCAAGGAGTAGGCCAGAGCTGTGGTTGTACTTGAAAACACAGATCATGTTGGTGTTTTCAGGCCCCAGTCTTTCTGCACATGTGCCTCTTGACAGGGCTGCCTCATGGCATAGCAGCTGGCCTTCCTTAGGGCTAAGTGATCTAAGAGAGAGGGAAAGAGTGCCTATACAGAAGCCCAGTCTTTTTATTATTATTTCTCTGAAGTGATATTCCATGATTTCTGTCATATCCTATTTATTGGATACAAGTCCAAAAGTAGCCCATATTCAAGGACTAAATGAGAGTGTGAATACCTGGAAGTGGCCATCACTGGGAACCATTTTAGCCTACCGTTGTTTATTAAAATGGTACACTACACATTGTGTGTGTGTGTGTGGTGTGTGTGTGTGTGTTTCAAGAGAGAGAGAGAGAGCTCGTGAATGGGAGTTGGGGGAGGGGCAACGGGAGAGGGAGAGAGAGAGAATCTCAAGCAGGCTCCACACCCAGCGCGGAGCCCAATGTGGGGCTTGATCTCACAACCCTGAGATACGACCTGAGGTGAAATCAAGAGTCAGACGCTTAACCAACTGAGCCACCCAGGCACCCCTAAAATGGTAACCTACACATTTTTGAATGTTAAGCCCACCTCACCTTCCTGGGATTAATTCTACTTTTTCATGATTTATTATCCTTTTTACATACTATTGGATTAAATTTATTAAAAGTGTGCCAATGATTTCTACATCTGTATTCATAGAGAGCAATCAGTCTGTAATTTTCTCATAATATTTTTATCTGGTTATAGGGTTGGAATGATGCTCGTTTCATATAATAAGTTGGAAAGTATTCTTGCCTCTTTAATTTTTTTTTTTGAAGAGTTTCTGTGGAATTGGGTGTTATTCCTTCCTTAAATGTATGGTTTACTTTGCCAGTAGTGTTGCCTAACCCTCGCTTTTTCTTTGTTGAAAGGTTTTTGGCTACAAATTTAATTTCTTTAATAGACATAGACTTATTTAGTTTATCTGTTTCTTCTGGAGTGAGCTTTGGTAGTTTATGTCCTTCAAGGAATTTGTTTCATATAAGTTGCTGAATTTATTGCATAAAGTTGTTCGTAATTATCTGTAGGTCCCTAGTGATATCACGCCTCTCCAATTTCTGATATTGGCAGTATTTGTTTTTTACATTTTGTCCTTATCAGTCTGGCTAGAGGTTTATTTATTTATTTTTTTAAAAAATCTTCTCTGAAAATGAACCAACCAGCTTTTGGTTTCATTGATTTTCTTTATTGCTTTCTATTTTCTACTTCATGTATTTACATTCTTTTTGTTTGTTTTTAAAGATTTTATTTTATTTATTTGAGAGAGAGAGAGTGAGAAAGAGAGCACAAGAGGAGGTAGGGTCAGAGGGAGGAGCAGACTCCCCACTGAGCAGGGAGCCCGAGGCAGGACTCTATCCTGGGACTCCGGGATCATGACCTGAGCTGAAGGCAGTCAGCTTAACCAACTGAGCCACCTAGGCGCCCCTCATGTATTTACATTCTGATATTTATTCATTATTTTCATTCTTCTCCTTATTTTGAGTTTCAGTTGCTCTTCTTTTTTTGGTATTTTAAGGTATAATCACATTGCTTGGAGACCTTTCTTCTTTTCTACTATATGCATTTAGTACTATAGATTTTCTCCAGTTGAAGTACTACTTTAGCTATATTCTACCATTTTGATATTTTGTGTTATTTTCATTTAGTTCAAGATACTTTCTAATTCTCCTTTTCTATCATTTAGTTTCTAGATATTTACTCTCATACTTATCTTTTAAATCCCTTCTGGCTCCATGCTCACTTCGGCAGCACATATACTAAAATTGGAACGATAAATCCCTTCTGGCTCCTTTTTAAGGTATTCTCTTTATCACTGGCTTTAAGCAATTTGATTTTGGTGTGCCTTCATGTTTTTTCTTTTTGTGTTTCTTATACTTGGGGTTTGTTGACTTCTCCGGCCCATGTGTTTATACATTATTATAATCTACTTGCCTCAGTGATATGGTGGTTTCACATCCACATCACATGTATTGCCTCTTACTATCACATCCTTAAGAAGAAAACATAAATCCTTAAAAATATTGAGTGCATCTCATCTACTTGTGATAAATTGTTAGTTTTTGATCATGGGTAGAGGAATCTGCCTTAAATCTTTTTCCAGACACCTTCAACAGTATTGTGGTTTGTAAAGTATGATGATATCCTTCTCATTTGACTTAATTAAAATTCAACCTGTGCTTTGCAGTTGAGTCATACTCTTGGGACAGAGTTGATGCTTAAGATTTCTTTTTTTTTTTTTTTAAAGATTTGATTTATTTATTTCACAGAGAGAGAGAGAGAGAGAGCAGGAGCGGGTTGGGGGGAGGCAGAGGGAGAGGGAGAAGCAGACTCCCCTGCTGAGCAGGGGCCTGATGCAGGGTGCTGGGATCATGACCTGAGCCAAAGGGAGACGCTTAACTCGCTGAGACACCCAGGCGCTCCAAGATTTAATTAAACTTTTTTTTTGGTTTGTTTAAAAATTTTTAAGGAAGGGCATAATTTAATGATATGTACTTTCCTACTCTAGCAGTTTTAAAAAATTACATTGTCACATTGTCAGACATGTTTATTATACAATTCAAACAATACAGGGCATATAAAAAGTTAGTAATCTTACCCTTTACCAATTCAATTCCACATATCTGGAGGTATTCTATGTTAACAGTTTGGTGTGTTTTCTTCTATTCCTTTCACTGTGCTCAGACATACACATAGGAATACTTATGTCTATGTCTGTTTCTGTTGTGTCTGCATATATATCCATTCATACACATAGATACATGTGTTCCTCATGTGGAATCATTTATGCATAACACTCAGATACTTTATATTTTTATTTTAACAATATGGGGTTTTCTTGTTTTCCTGCTTTTAAAAATAAAGATATGGAAACTTCACAGCAAGAAAAAACTTTAAAAGCAATTTCAGAATTACCTTTTCTCTAGAGAGAACAATAAAGTTTACCTAACTTCACAGACAAGCTAGGTGCCATAAAATTATTAAATAAGAACAACAAAGTCTCCAGAGTATAGGAAGAATGAAAGGCTTAGAACATAGAGTAGAAAACAATGGGGCAAAAGTCAGTGACTAAAATAAAATGCGAGAGTGGGGCAGGCAGGGCCAGAGAATGAGGGGAGTTGGGAAGCAAATAGGGGTCTTGTGGATTTTGAAATGAGTGTTATTCAGTGTTTCTCTTTTATGGTATTACTTCTTTACATTCATTAGTTTTGGTATTAGAAAAAATACTGTGTTCAATTTTTCAACATCTCTCACCATTAGCTCTTTTATATGCACAAGTTTTATATTCCAGTTTGGAGATGAACTTTGGACGGGACAGATTTACTTTTGAAATAAATGGTGATCTTTTTCTCTAGCTGTGTTAGCTGCTTCCATGATGACCCATCAGTTCAAATGCCCATCTGATTTAGCTCAACTGATTTTTAAAAAATTACTATTATTAAGGCAAGTTGTCCAACTTCCTAATGATTCAGAATCATTGTACTAGCAGGCAGGTGGAAAGATGTGTGACAGGGTTCAAGAACCACATTAGGGAACTAGTACCCTAAACCTTAAGCTTTCCATTTTATGGATAGCATTTTTAGTGTCTGCCCTAAATGAGTAGAAGCGGAATAGTTATGAGGAATTTTTTCATACTGGGATTTAAGCTGGTATAGCTTTTAGAATGCGGACTTTCTGAGCATTTTCTGAAATGGAAATTAGCAGGCTTTCCTAGAATAATAAATCGCATGTTTCATGATATTAAAGCTTCAGTGGGGAGTTCTGAATTTCTTTCTTTCTTTTTTCCCAGATATGTGTCACAAAGATGTCTACACGGAACTGCCAGGGAATGGATTCAGTGATCAAACCCCTGGACACAATTCCTGAGGATAAAAAAGTCAGGGTTCAGAGGACGCAGAGCACCTTTGACCCATTTGAGAAACCCGCTAATCAAGTAAAGAGGGTGCATTCAGAGAACAATGCTTGCATTAACTTTAAGTCCTCCTCCACTGGCAAAGAGTCTCCGAAAGTTAGGCGGCACTCCAGCCCTAGCTCGGTAAGTGCAGTCTTCTTAACCAGCGGGGAAGCAGAAGGAGTATCCCTCCAACAGTCGTGGCCCACTGTGCTGGAAGAGGGCAAGTGGCTTTATCAGTACATTATTGTGCACGCTCTCTCAGGGTGGTTTAGTGTTTTTTGCGGGGGGGAGTGCAATCTATATACAGACTCTTTATTCATAAGTACCCAGCAAGCAAATGAGAAATGATTCAACTTATTTTTGGAAAAAAAAATTTTTTTTTCTAGTTGTTTCCCGTTAGAGGATTTATAATTAAACATCCTTTGGTATTTCAAGCCCTTGGAGAAGGATATTGAACTTTACTGTTTTTGCGGGCAATATAGTTTTGAGTTAGGCAGATTCACAGAGAATGTCGTTTCAGAGTAAAGGTTCAAATTTATTCACTTGTCTTCTTCCAGTTTGTTTTCAGTGTAAATGTTTTAAATTTAAGAGCTAGATGTTGAAATTGGTCTTCTTAAGGAGAAGTCCTATTCATCATAATGAAATTTTCTTACGCTAGATTAAGACAAGTCTTGCCTTTTGACCTAAGGAGGTGTAAAGTTTTGAGGTAAATGCTGCTTTTTGACTGTAAAATTTTTACTGAAACTTTTATTTCCAAACTGGCCTGCATTTAACCTTGTAAAAACCCTTACGATCTTTTAAAGTTAAGTAATTTTCAGATTTAACTTACACTTGAGAACCTTTTGAGTAGATGTTCTAAGAGTTTAAAAAGTAAGAGGAGAATGCTAAGAGAATTTTGATTCTATCATCCTGCTAAGAAACATGTCATTTTATAAATACTACATTTGATGAGGACAAAGCAGAGCCAGAAATGTCAACTGCTAGAGGAGTATTGACACTTCAATTAAACTATATGACACTGCACATATCTGGTCACATTTTGTGTTAATGAAGCCAAAATAAATATTATCAATGCAGCATTTGTGAGGAGCATTGATTATCTGCTTTTTTTCTAAACTGACCCCATAGTCTTGTCTATGAGTTCAAGGTAGCATCCGTCTAGAACACAGACACATCACTAACTTCTGGGAGAACTTTTAGATCTAGTAGCATTTTAGAAGAAATGAAAGAAGTTGTTGAAAATGATTAAGCCTATGTTATGGAAAGAGAGTTATATATATTTTACTATATAGTTATCATAATATTATTATATATCAGCCTAAAATGATATATAGAAATTGGCATTTTCAGATATTGCAATGAGGCATACTTGTACTAAAGAATTACTTTTATCTGAAATTTAAATTTAGCTGTCATGTATTTTATCTCAATACTAGTTATAATCTACTGGTGTATTCCTTCTTATGTTGCTCAGATTCTTCCTACTTTAACCATTGGGAGCTCTTTCAGTTTGGCTCGTGTGCCTTTTTTGAAATGTCTTTGTCCCTCTGTTTTTGGAACATGCCCTTACCTTCTGGTCCTACAAGACACTTTTGGCTGATACTGTATTTTTCCCAACCCCAGACCTAAAACCACCCATTTCTCCAAAGAATCTCAGTTCCTTTTATTGGAGAGTGGTAGTTAGAAACCAAGATGTGGGTGCTGGATGTGCTTAGTGCTACCAGGGATCATGTAGATTTAAAAGTCAGTGCATACATCGTAATATAAGTGATAACCATGGAGCTTCCATATTTTTAATATTTAATAAGGAATTAGTTTCAGTTTTTATCAAGGAAAGTTGAATGTTACCTGATGCTTTTTGTATTTCTCTCTCTCTCTCTTTAAAGTTCCATTTTATCTTTATTAAAGTAATGCTTGAACATAGCTTAACAGATCAAATAGACAAGTCTGGGGGGATGGCAGCGGCCTAGGTTTTGAAACTCAGAACAACTAGTATAGTAAAACCACAACCAGTGGATAATATTGGCACCAAATACCGTTGACAGGTATCTCTGTGAACCTCAAAGTAGGAGTGAGGAGGGGAACAAACCGTGAGCAGTTTTCAGAACTGCATGGTGTTAGGAAGGGTGAGGATGGAAGCTCAGGGAAGGGAAAGGACCCCTCTCTGAAACTCTACTCTCATAGCCCCCCTCCCCTCCCCTCCATTGCCATCAGGTACATACTGGCAGCTTGTTGGGACATTCTTAGGATAGTGGCAGCAACTGGGAGGGACTTCGATGGCTTTTGTTGAGTAGGTGAGTGCAAGGAGACCAGGGTGGTTTACTGATACTGGAGTAGTCTGCTGGCCTCTCTGGGACTCCTCTAGAACGTCACATTGAAGCCCTGAAGACCTTTCCAGAACGAAGCCCTGCCCTGAATGGAAAGTGCAGAAGTAGGCTTTCGTGTAGGTCACATTCAATGGGGGCAAAGGAAGTGGATGGTCCAGAAAGAAGTGTGAGCAAAACAGATGAGGGAAGATCTCAATGTGTGTACTAGTTTGTTTTTATTTTTTAACTTCATGAAACGGATGAAAGAACTTTATTTTCGGAAGCTAGAAAGGCTATCTTGGCCACACCCCTGTCTTAAACTACTGAATAATTCATTTTACTTAAAGTAACCAATAGAAAAATTAGTGGTTGAATCTTACACAAAACCATGAAGAAAAAAAAAAGAGAAAAAGGAGCAGAGTAACATCTTTACAGATAATGAAGCCAAGCTAGAAGGAGGTGAAATTATCTTTTTTTGAAGATTTTTGATGATGTATCTGGAAAATCTAAAAGAATCAGTGAAAATACTCTAATTAGTGAGAGAAGTTAGCGAAATAGCGGGTTAAAAATTAACATACAAAACCCAAGAGAAACCTTTATAAAAACAAGAATCATTATTGAAAACTGGTAACTAAAGCAAATAACTAAGCATTTATTTTCTGTGATTTCTACATGAAATTGACCTCATGGTAACCTAGTTTTGATGGGGGGGGTGAATTTGTCTTTTAGAAATAATCCCACTAATACATCAAGAAAGAATAATATATTTAGGAATCACAATTTGGTAATCCCTGATGAGGTAATACATGTAGGTAATGATTGTCAGTACCTGCTGACATCACCAAGAGAGATAGCCAGACATTGTGATGTCCTAATGGAAGTTTACGCAAAGCACCTGCAAAATTCAACCCGAATCTGAGCAGACCTCTAGATATAATAACCACTGGAACACATCAAGAGAGGATTTTCCCTGTTGTGTTTCTATCCCCACGTATGTTTCCCCTACTTTCTGGCTTTTAATATATGGTGTTTGTAATCTTGTGATGCTGTAAATGCTACTCATAGCAAGGCCACATGATATACTATGATTAAATTTCTCTCTTTGAAGAACTTTCTTTTTTTTTTTTTAAGATTTTATTTATTTGACAGAGAGAGACACAGCAAGAGAGGGAACACAAGCAGGGAGAGTGGGAGAGGGAGAAGCAGGCTTCCCGCCAAGCAGGGAGCCCGATGCGGGGCTCCATCCCAGGACCCCAGGATGATGACCTGAGCTGAAGGCAGACGCTTAACGACTGAGCCACCTAGGCGCCCCACTTTGAAGAGCTTTCTAACATTTTCTTTTTTCTTTGAAGTATAGTTGACACACAATGTTACATTAGTTTTAGGTGTACCACATAGTGATTCAACAACTCTGTCCTTCTTTGCATAACTTTCAGATTTTCTTAGTTGTAATTGCTTTCTCTTCATTTATTCATAATTGATATAATGATTTATTATAATTTCAATTACAAATTGAGGTCCCAGATTATTTGGTAAAACTATAAAACTTCTGAAACAAATCAGAAATCAGGTAACTTAACAGTTTTTCTTCCCCCCTGAGACTGTCCTTGACGTTGTCAGTCCTTCTAATCCAGTCTGGACTACTTGATCTCCAAGCCTGCTATCCTGAGGCTTCCCTTCACTAGCTTCCTGAGAAGTTTCTTTTCCCTCATTTTTGTGTTAAATGCCTATGCTTTGGGTTACGTGTCTTTCTTGTTCTTGGTTTATGACATTGCACATATGACCGTACCTTTATTCATACTTGGTAACTTGATTAATAATCTGGGTATAGGATTCTAGTTTAGAAAATAAATTTTTTCATAGCCTTTTGAAGACATTGCATTGTTCTTTTCTAGGTCCCTTTATTGTTATTTTAAGCCCTAGACTGTTCTGATTCCTAATTCATTCTTTGTGGAAACTTCTAGGACTTTGTTTTCATCCCTGATGTGGACCTTTTTCTTGGTACTCAGAGAATCTTTCCAATTTTGAAATTAATTTCTTTCAATTTCAGAAAATATTCTTTTATTATTAATTTGTTAATTATCTTTTTGGTTTTCTCTGCTTTATGGATATTTAAAAAATTTTTTTAATGCTTCAGTTAAATTTTTAATTGATGCTAACATTTATTTCCAAAAGCTCTCTCTTATTCCTCAGATGTTCTTTTGAAAATCAACCTGTTCTTTTTCAATGAATGATATATTGTCTCCTCTGTTTCTGAATATACTAAATGTAGCTTGGGGGAATTTTGAAGAGGTTTTTCTTTTTCTTTCTTTCTTTTTTTTTACTATACTTCCTAAATGATCTCGCGTTTCCTTTGAGTCTTTGAGTTCTTTGTTTTGGGTTTGTTTTTTTTTTTTTTTTTGGTTTCTGCCTTGCCTGTTGAGATTTTTAATTTTGGTGAGTCTAGATCATGCCTTTGGAAAGAACTTTTGACTGAGTTCATATTATGAATAATGTGCAAAAAAGTTCATAGGAAGTTCTTTGTGCCACTGGTGCTTGTCAACTGGGGGAGGCCTCAGCATAGGGAATATCAGAGAAGACCTAGTCATTTCATGGGAGGACTATCAGATGTCAGTATCAATCCATCTTTCTCCTTGGCTGAGTTGATCCACCAGAGCAAATTTACCAGTCGATTTTTTAGGATATGAAAGCCTAAATGATATTTTTCTGAGATGATCAAGAAGGGGCCCAAGGTCTCCCAGTCCTACACAAACTTTCTTGTGCTTTGTTTTCATTCGGTATGACTCTTCATCCTGATTTCCACTGTACTTGGTGTCCCAGTTCTGACCTGTCTGG